TCTGTCCTTTTCCCAAAAGGACTTAGAAGCAGAAATTGCTGCACTTGGAGAGAGTCCTCAGGGACTCAGGAAAGGCTCTGACCTTGTCTCATGGAGTTGGTGCAAGGAAACTCCTCTGACCCGGGGCTCACACCCCAAGGGTTTCCTACAGCCCATGCCTCCTCCCCATTTAGTGGTACTAAGTCATGCTTCCAAGGACTCATGCCTTACTCACCAGCAGCTGTGAGCACTTCAGGTGGGGCCTACTTGTGCCTTGATCTTTGCTGTGCCTCTCCTCACACTTACCACCTTTTTTGTATGTCTCCTAAGAAAGACAGCCTCATGAAAACACATGCACTGCAACCAACTCCCATCTGAGTATAACCTGGAAGGGCAGGAGTTCCAACCTAACCATGTCAAGGTCATCCATTAGGTGTTTTATTTTGCATTTATATCACATATTAACCTGAGCTATGCATTAATATCCAGCTTGTGACCTTGGTATGGCACTTCTCTAATCCTTGATCTGTTTTTTTATCCCTAAGCTGAAGATAACATTTACAATTTTTTCTACCTTTCTGGGTGGATGAGAGAATCTAAGTATATAATTGACAGGCCATTATGAATGTGATTAGTTGTTATTAATAATCACTAACCATCTATAAATAATAAAGGGTGGTCTCTCTATCTATAGCTAACTTTAATGCCTGATATTTTTCAGAGAAGGAAGCTGGGTTCCCCATGGCCTTTTCCTGTCCTAATTCCCCATAATACTTCTTAAAAAGTGATCTCAGAGCCCTGTACCTCAGTCACACCCACTCCCCTCCCTCAGAGGTGTCCTGGACCTAACTTCATCCTTCCTAACACTTGCCCCTCAGTGGGTGTGGACTCAGCCCACCCCCTATCATAAGTCCAGTCCCCTGGGATTCTGGGATAAAGTGGAATTCCTACATAGTACCTTTAAAGTTCAGCCTAAATTCATCATGCATAGCCAGGACAAGGGGATATAGCCTATGTTAAAGCACCTTGCTGAAATCTTATGTGGCCAAAGTTGATGTCAGAGGCAAAAACAAACAAACAAAAGATAAATCAGCCTTGGTCTGAGGGGAAGCTCATGATGGAACAGAGGACACCCTGGTTAAGTTGGACCTACCATGCTCATAGGAAACAGGGACTGGGGCTATGGTTGCGGTGGCTGAGGTGACATAGGCTTGATTGAGTAAGTAGGGCTTGGAGTGAGAGCATCTGGACCAGAGCCAGACAAACATGCAGGGTTTGAGGAAACAAGCACCTTACTTTTGCCCCTGACTCCAGAGGATATCAGCATGACGTCATGGGGGCAGGGATGAAAAGTGCAGAGGGTCAGAGTGAGCCTGGCTCAGGTAACTGTGCTGGAGATCGCTTCTAGGATAGTTGAACACTTCAGCTCTGTTTAAGCACTTTACTCCTTCTTCCCTTGTCTTTCGTATGGTCGGTATTCTTTGATATTTATCTATTTATTTACCTTTTCTCGTGTTCTTCATTTCCTGCAGCTTGTCCACATTTCTATCTGGATCATTTTCCTTCTGCCTGAAGAAATACTTTTAGTTCTGCTTTTGTTGCAGGCCTCATAGTTACACATTCCATCAACACTTGTAAATAGAACTCTTTCAGTCATCTTCATGAGTGAGATATTTTCACTAGGAATAGAATTCTAGCTGGGCAGTTCTTTTTTTTTCACCCACTTTAAAACAATCCGTTGCAGCCTGCCTTCCCTTGCTTTTGCTGAAGTAGCTGTCAGTCTAAACCATGTTCCCTAAACTGTAATGCATTCCTGCTCACAACCTGGGCTACTGGTAAGACTTTTTTCTTTCATTATTTAATTTTTGCACTTCTCATATGTGTTCAGGTATATGTGCTTGGAGTTACTTGTGATTCTTTTTTTTCTAGCCCCAGGGCTAGAAATTTTTTTCAATTTCATTTATGTTTATTTTTGTGGAGTACAGTGTGTCGTTTCAATACATTCATATCCTGCACAACAATTCACTTAGATAGATAGTATAGTTTTGTCCCATTAGTTTACCCCTAATCTTGCCCCCCATCCCCACCCCTCACAGCCTATGGTAACTATTATTCTACTCTTCTTTTTTTTTAACACACAAAAATTAACATCCTTACTGCAAAAAGAACACTTAAAATGAGGTAGAAAAATCTAAGCAGAAATTTGGTGAAGGACGTGAGTGGATAAGTCACACACCCCGAAAAAACACACGTAGTTAATAACCACATGCTAGGATCTAGTTGCAGCTGGGGGCAGGGCTGGCCCAGCCCCCACCTCAGGATCCCAGGCATCAGCTGGTTCCATTCCTGGCCTGGATGTGCGGAGAGGGCAAGGCTAAGTTCCACAGCCCCGTCGCAGGAACCCCAGGCATCAGGTTGGTGCCGTTGCTGGCCTGGATGTGTGGCAGCAGGGGCAGGGCTAAGGCTCCGGTCTCTCAGGACCCCTGGCTTTGGGATGGCACCATTGCAGGCTTGGATGTGTGGCCATGGGGGCAGGGCTAAGGCCCATGGCCATTGAGTTTCAGGAACTCTGGGCATCACGCTGGCTCCATTGATGGCCTGGATGTGCCTAGCTGTGACTGGTGATCACAAAGGACCTTGTGGGCACTGTAAGGACTTTGCAATGTTCCTTCTTTCTCTCAAAGTAAAAGCCTGAGTTTTGAACAAAGTAACATTATTTAACATATTTTTTAAAGTTTTCTCTGGCTTACATTAAGAGAACAGCACAAAGAGGTAGGGGTAAAAGGAGGATTAAAGAGTCTATTGGATTAATCCAGAGAAGGTAGGATGGTGTTTCTGAATGAAAATGGTAGCAAAGTATGTAGTGAGAAGCAATCAGACTTTTTTATTTATTTGAAAAAAGTGCCAATGGATTTCTTAAGAGTGGATACAGAATATGAGAGAAAAAGTGTTCAAAGATAATATCACTTCTGGCTTGAGCAATAGGAAGGAGGGAAGGCGTTGTGGGATCACTAAGGGGAAGATCTCACACTCAAGCACTACTCAAGTTCCTACCACTGCATGGATGGCATGCAGCTTTGTGTCCTAGTTTGGGAATGTTGAGATGTCCTAGTTATTGGGCGATTAGAAATATCGAAACTATGCCCAGACTACTGCATCAAGTTTCCTGTATCCTAATCTTGTCCTCTTTGTATGAGGGTAAAATTTTATGTACCTGTAGGCTACTCGTATTTATTATTTGTGGTGTGTTTGTGTGCCAGACTCCAATGAGCTAATACAGAAGGTAATTTTCCTTTTACTATCTGTGATTTGTCCTGGTCTTTGTATGAGGGTAAAATTTTATGTACCTGTAGGCTACTCGTATTTATTATTTGTGGTGTCTTTGTGTGCCAGACTCCAATGAGCTAATACAGAAGGTAATTTTCCTTTTACTATCTGTGATTTGTCCTGTTTGTGCTGATGTTAGATGTATTACCTGGGTATAGGATCCTTATCCTACTGGACTTGTACTGGAAACAATACTATTTTTTCTTTCTTAGGGATGGATACGGCCTGAAGACTGACATCATTCCTTGAATAAGTTAACAGGAGAATAAGCAGATCTTTCTTGTTGGAAGTAACTTATTTTAATGCATGCTGCTCTCTATGTATATTTAAGTATCGTTAGTGTCTAGTATTATTTTTAGGCTTACTACCTACCCCCAACTATGCTCAGAAGAAACAATCAAGAATTTTTGACTACATTAGAAGTAATGTAGTACATCATTTCTCTGGGGTATTTGTTTTTATGTCAGAGGGAATTATGGGAGCAGAGGTGGAAATAAGGGGAAGGTGGACTCTAGGTTCTTGCTATGCCCTTTCCTCCTGGACAGCTTCCAACCTTCCACACCCTATCTTCAAAAGGCTTGGAGATTCTCTTTCAAAGCTAAATAATAGGGGTAGGTAAATAGATAAAGATACATGTAGAGATGGAGGTATATAATTCCTAAGCAATTCCTTCTTGTCTCTGAGGAAACAAGAAGGTCACAAGATAAAAGTAGAGCAAGACATTTGTGGAAGATGGTATATGAGGACTTGTCTGAAAAGCCCATTTGTGTTGTCAGGATTAATGGTGAGGGAAATACCTAGTATGTACATTTACATGGGACAGGGGAAAAGAGAGAGGAGAGAAACACAAATCAATATTCCCACTTCTTAACTGCTTTTTCTTGCTTGTATTACTTCCACTATGCCGGGCCTTGGGATGAGGAGTTCACAGAACAGAATCTGTTTTAATTATCATTCCCTTCTATGCCTATGGACATACAAATAAGTGCTGCATCCCCACCTTAACAGTCTATGTATCCCAAGCCCCTAGTACAGAATTAGCTAAATTAGTGAATAAATGAGCAATTCACATTCTTGTTGAAAACATAGGATGCATCTCTGTGCAAAGAAAGAGTTACATGATATGTAAAGAAAAGTCAGAAAACTTTTTATGCAAAGTGTTTAATGAGAAGGATTCGTCATGAAGATTGAGAAGTAAAAAGAAGACAAAGAACACAGAAACTGGCTACGTTGAAGAAATAACTTTCTCACTTAGCACCTGCAGGCCCAGACTGCTGCAAACTCCCCAACACTGGGACTGTTAAGCCAGAAGCTGTGCAGCACCTGTCAGAGTGATTGGGGAAGTATTCCCACATCAGATGTACTGTTGGTCCTCACCAAGGTCCTGAGTGGATAGTTCACCACATCCCTAATAACTCATGACAGAAACTCAGATCTTCACAATCTCTTAAGTGGAAGCATCTTTGTGCCTTTAGGTAAAGTTCCCAGGAGGCCAGTGGATCAAGACTCTGTCAAGTTACTGATAAGAGTGAAGACTCTGTGGAAGTCAGCAAAGCCAGCAGGTTAAGTCCAGAGACTACCGGAGGACACAGACCCTCAAGTTCTGAACAGACTGGTGGGTCTGTGAGTTTCAGGACATTATTTCTTTTTATTTTTTTTTTAATGCCAGGAAAAATCTAAACACGGAGACTCTGGCAGCCCTCTCCTTCTTATCATACCCTGCCCCCAACTTCAGCATGCAACCTGCCCCACTCTTTCTCCACCTGTCCCTCACTCTACTTTTACACATCCTTTTTCAGGAATAGTCCTAAGACTTGCTCACGAATCTGCTTGGTCTTGACACCATAGATGATGGGATTGATCATGGGTGGGAAGAGGAGATAGAAATTGGCAAAAAGAATGTGGACATGAGGGGCAGCCTTGCGAGCTACACGATGCATGACTGATGAGATGACCACAGGTGTGTAGAAGGCTAGGATGGCACCTATGTGAGACACACATGTCCCAAATGCCTTGTAGCGGGCCTCCTGAGAGG